TAAAACTCTCCATTACTACTCTTAAATTATTAATTTGAGTGAAGATTTAATCCCATTGGGATTCAAATCAGTTCGTGACTATTCGATCGTTTCATAAATTACAAATATCAATTAGAATATTTCCATAATTAAATAGAGAATAAACATTATAGAAGTCATAAACATTAAATTCTCCTTGGAGTGCATACATTTAAGATATTAAAATCTGTCGGCATTTTACATGTGAATAATTTGATCTGTGCACATTTACTTAATTATTTATTTTGCATACATTTTATATAATATTATTTAATTAATAAAACTGTAAAGGAACTTTAATGAAAAATTTAATAGGTTTATTTAACCTTATCATAATGGAAAAGTAAACAACGACCAAGAACATAATTACTTTAATTGAGAACATTTCTGAGAATATTTGAAGAACTTTTTATTCATTTTACAAATATTTTTTAAATTTACAATTGTGTGGGGGGGTTTTTTAAATAAATTTCTTATCTCAATTATTAATTGGGTGAGATTCTTATAGAAAAATCACATCATGTTCTTTTATCTAAAGATATTGAATTATTGATGCTGAAGATAACAATATTTTATAGAATAAAAAAGAATATTTTATGTTTATAAATGTTTGATTTTTGAAGTTTATATAATAATGTTTTTTTTTTGAAAGATTTTAAAAATTAACTCTGTATATCATCGTCGTTGATAGGATATTTAAAGATTAAAAGTGAAAAAAGAGTGGTTAAGAGTAAGAAAATTCTGAGATTTTCTTAAAGAAAAAAGCGTGAAAAAGGAGAAAAAAATAAGTTTTTATTTAAGAAGGCATTTCTATGAAATAATTAATCAAATTATATCGTTAAAAATGTTTAATAAAAGTATTGAATTAATGTTTTGCTTTTATCTATTCTAAAATTGAAAATATCGTTTATGTCACCACAAATTTCATCAATTTATGGCCATATAAACGATTAAATAAGAATATTTAAGAGAGACTTATCCATCTGTAGAAGGATTATTAAATTCCCAATTGTAAACAATTGCACAATAAGGTTTTATTATCTTCATTCTTATAAAATATAATTTTTTTTAAACAATTTATACATGTATCATTGTTACAATTTAAATGTAAAGAGCAACTCAGAAGTATTATATTTTTATCTTTCCAGGTGAAACTTTACAATCTCCTTACCGTTAACGGAGTAGTTTCTTACAGTCACTTCGTATATACGTCAATAATTGTTGATTAAGTTTGTAACATGTAATAAATTAATTAATGTAACTTACGGATTTAAGTTCTCCTATGGTTTGTCCTACGGTTTCTCCTATGATTATTGAGGATTTGTAGTTTATGCTTCAAAAATTACGTTAAATTTTTATAATTAAATGTAGAGAACGACGTTAAAACGTATCCAAAGTTTAGAATGAAATAGATTTACAAGGAGATTTTATAATTTAATTCGAATAGATAAATAAGATTTACAGCCAGAAGCTGTTATAATGTTAATGCATTGTGTCGTAGCGATAAAAGTAAGTGGCGAGATACTTCTCTAGAGATTGGAATTCTCGAGTATCTCATTCGTTTTCTGTTAATAGATACGTGTAGACTTGACACTCTTTACTTGTACTGTTAAGCGATCATTATCCATAAGCCACGTTTTAATCCAAGAGAGCAAGTGTAGATAAGAAAAGAAAATTGCATTAGAAATTGACACTTGACTCTCTTATAAAGTTTTTTTTTTACTGGTGTTTAAAGTATAAAATAAGAAATTCGACACTAAAACCAGATGTTAGTACTCGATGTTGTAAAAATATTATTAAAAACACAGGAAAAAAAACTGAATCGGAAATGTTAAATCGTAACAACTGAGACATCATCTATTGCTTGAAAATGATGGTAGATATAAAAAGAATATGATATGTAGTAAGGCCAAAGGAAAATGGAGGCTCCTGTGAAATTATGGACCATATTTCGTCGGAATTTATCAAATGATAATAATGATTGTGATAGAAAATGAAATAATTTCAATCAACTTTAAACAATATTAAACAGAACTTAAAAGTTTTAGTATTTAAACACGACTTCATCTAATAAGATAAATGAAAAATCTTCTTTAATTTACGTTTTCTGTTAATTAAAATGAACCGAAACCAACGAAGTAATTAGAATAAGATATCCCAACTTTGAAGAGTTTTCAAAGATTTTCAACAGCAGATTCACCATTAATATTTGAAATTTCCTTCACCAAAATTGCATGACATTAGAAAATTTTCTAACGTTTAAAAATCTGTTAAAGTTAAAAGGTATTCAGTTTGCTTCAAAAGATAAAAGAACATTTAAACTTCATTTGTCGTTATTAGTTAGTTTTGAAGAGGCAGAGCTGCTATTACTTATAGAAACAATAGCTTTCACGCAGGATAAAGCACAGTGTGACTGTATGACGAGATCAGATCAGTGATTATGTTCAGTGCAATTTTACAAGAGAATACAGATGCCACTACCCGACCACGAAAAATAACAGAGTGTATGTTAAGTTTAAGAGACAGGTAGGGGCCTTCTTACACGAACTGGTCGACTAGCCTTAGCAAAACGACTGTTGATGATGTAGGTATGAAAGTTTATCAATACGTTAAAATAACTTTTATCTTGCTTTACATTCTGATATAATCTGTCCATTGTGCCTATGATAATTATTGTTTGATAAGATTTTATAAGGGAAAGTCCTCATTTCTCGGTGTGTGTGACGTATCGTCTCCTCGTTCTCCAAGATACCTCCCTACAGTTTCGCCGACCGTCGACCAGAAGTTGAGTTTCTCCGACAATCCATAGAAACTGGATCGGAAACAATGGATCATCTCCTCGAGGTGTTATAATTAGAATTTTAAACACACTCTCTCGGTCAATTAGCGTATGTGTTTAGATAGTTGTAATCGTTCAGATCTTAAATGTATTAGCAAACGAAGACAAATATTGTAATTGCATATAGACTTAGGGCTGTAGCTTCTATATACTCCTTGGGTTAGCTTATTAAATTTGTTGTTTTATTAACCTGTCCACCTGTTACCCTATCGACGTACCCATCGCACCCCCCATTTAGAAACGCCCTCCTACCAGATTCTAACCCGATAAAGCCATCCAGTGACATCCAGGCCTTCACCGGACTGTTGCTGACAAGCGGGATTTACACCGAAATCCATCGACCCCATCTCCGGCTTCTCACAAAAGTCACGATCCTTAGAAACAGAAGAATTAAATTTTGTTATGCAATTCTTTATTGATTCATTTGATGAAATTTATGCCTCTTGCACGAATTAATTTGTACGCTCAAGATCTCGAATTAAACAAATTTATTACAAGAAGATAAATTGAAATTACGAGGAAATTATGCTCGAATGGAATTTAATAAACGACTGAAGCGTGAGATTAATACCTGAATTTATACTTCGTTATTCCTGAGAAGTATTTGTTTCAAATTAATATAAATGGATTTTTCGAATGAGTTCTTGATAATCAAGTAAGACTCAAATAATATATAGAACAAATTTTCGCTTCTTATTCGTATTATTCATCATTTGTACATTTTCTTACAAAAGGAATTTTGTTGTACAATTGCAATTAGTTAAATCATTCAATTTATTAGTTTTTCCCTTGTGTTACCACATTTTGAGAATTGTTGAAACATTCTCAAAATGTCCTAACATTCAAAACAACGAAAATTGTTAAATATTTCTTTTATTAATAACTAATTGACTCGGAACAAATTCGGCTTGATGCATACATTTATGTAAATTCTTATTAAATCCATTATTTTTCTCATTCCTGAAATAGGTTAAATATAAAGTTTCAAGTAAGAAGATCGATTTCAAGTTGAATGCCTTCTTTTGAAAGACGTGTACATGTGAAATTTTGTGGAAATATGTTAAATATGTCTAAATACTAATACAGTAACTTAGCAACATGCCTTATGTGAAGTACTGTACATAAATATTTCATTTCCTAGAAAGTTTTTGAACTTTTAGTAGATAATATTAATAGTTGAACTTGTGTTTTTTTACCTGTACAGTACATGTAAGTGATTTATTGCGTTAAATATATTATTTCATGTTAACAGATTAAATTATCAAAAATTTAATAGAAAGCGAAATAACAATTAATTATCACAAGAAAATCTTGTATAGGATTTAATAGGAAATTTTGATTGTTCCGATAAAGTCATCATCATCAACAAAAGTTATATATAATTAATGGACAAGCATTATGACATTTCATTATAAAAGAATTGTGGAATTTTCCAGATCCTTTAATCTTGAATATATTTTATAAAAATTCTGTTATATTTACTCAATCCTTACATCTAATTAAACATTGAAACTGAAAATGTCTCAATGCTTTATTTGAATGTAAATAAATACAGCTATTTACAATCTGAATTTTTATTTGTATCAATATTTATAAAAATTCCACTGGACCTCATACATACAGATGGAGTAACAGATTTAGAGGGCTGTCTGTGTCGTACTACAAACTTAACCCTTAAGAAGTAGGAAAGAAGGTCTAGAAAAGTGAGAAGAATTAGTGGGAAGAAGAAACAAAGGGAGATAGGAAAGTCGGAAAATAAGTGCAACTGGGGTCACCCCCATGGGGTCCCACGAGCGCCAGCATCGGGTTCTGTTTTTTAAAAGCAAAATAAAGGTTACAGTTTGCAACAAAATATACAATTGGTTTACATGAAAACAGATGAATGCAACAATTTCATGCATTTTGCATGATATAAATAGTTTGTTCTTGTTAACAGGATGACAATGGAGTACAAGACATGCTATTTGCATGCTAACAGTACAATTCTTTCATACCTGTGATACAATTATATAACAGGATTGAGTATATACACTATTTACAATGTCTTTGTGGTCAATCATAATACACTTGGAATTGTGAAGCCTTGCTACTTACAAGGCTGCAACAATAATAGCAAGTCTTCTGTCCTGAAGCCCTGTAGAGTCTAATATAAGTCGTAGTCGCTGTCCTCACTATCACTGCTAAAGATCTCACTCCTTTGTGAGTCCGATTCCTCCGGAGTGTCATTGTTGAGATCCGAATTAGTACCTTGAGTTTCCATGTTGTAGTGATAGTCAGGTAGCAGTGCTTTAGTTTTCCTGACAAAATTTTCTAGTTGTTCCCAGATTTCCTTTCTGTTAAATATTTCATTTGCTTGGGGTCTCCATCCAACTCCTTGTGTTATGCATTCTCTATATAATGGATATCTGAATTGGTCGTAGATGTTACAATCATAGATGTAGTGGTTTGCGTCCCCTTCGCTGACTCCATCACAATGGCACTTTCCATTATCTGTTTTTTTAATCCTGTGCAAATAGGCAGAGAATTTGCCGTGATTCGTTAATACTTGGGTGGTTTCGTGCCTTATCCTAAAATGCTTATTTTTTAACCTATCCTTTATGTATGGTATATAACTGAAGCAATGTCTTCCGGTGCTCGATTGGTTCCATTCGCTCTGCCATTTTTCTATTTCCCATTGTCTTAGGTGATGATTGAGTGCAGAGTTCGGTAGTCTTTTATACGTGATGTTTGTATTATGGTGACATGCCTTTTTTGCCAGGAGGTCTGCGGTCTCATTACCCTCCTTGCCTCTGTGTGCCGGGATCCAATTGAATTTTATAGTTCTGTTGTTTGCTACCTTTTGGGCTTCTTTAATCATTTCACTGCCCAGCATGGTGATGTTTCTGTTTTTCTTTAATGTATGCAGTGCCATTCTGCTGTCAACATAGATTTTAATGTTTCCTTTGTATTTATCGAGGTTTCCATTTATGTGTTTTAATGCATAGTAAATTGCCCAAATCTCCGCTTGGCCGTTTGAGCAATATTTTGCAAGCTTTAGGCTGGCTTGGTAACTGGTGGTGTTAGTACCCTGTTTTTTTATATATACACCTGCTCCCACTCCATCAACTTGTTTTGATCCATCCGTGAACGCTATCCAGTGAAACTGGTTTTCGTCTTTATCATCATAATCCATGTCTACTGTATATAAGTTCCTCTCCGCAGGATGTGTATCAATATTAATGTTGTTATTAGTTTTATCAATTTCAGTGTTTTTAATAATGTTTGGGATTTCTGTTATGTTCCTGGGGAGAATATTATATTTAATTTTCTTTTGAATTTCTTCTGGTGTTAATTTCCAAATGTTTTCATTTTTTATAAACCATTTCCACGTTGTCGACATTGCGGTGATGTGGATAGGTGTGATGCCAGCTATAGCTAAAAGGGCGTCCGTAGGCGAGGTTCTGTAAGCCTTGGTGATTTTGATTGCTGCCATTCTTTGGACAGTCATCAATTTTTTTCTTATATGAATGTTCTTTATGGCATCTTGCCAAACAGGTACCGCGTACAGGATGGCTGGCTCAATAGCTGATTTGTAAATCAGTGTACAATTCTTCGGAGACAATCCCCAATATTTCCCCATTATCCAGTTGATCTGGTTAACTTTTTGCTTTGTTTTATCAGTAATTTCTTTTATGTGGTAGTGCCAGCTTAAATTGGGGTCTAAGAATACCCCCAGATATTTTAAGTATTTAACTTGTTTGATTCTGTTTCCATTCATCCTTAATTTGAAAGTTTTTTTCAATTGTCCACGTTTGTTCTTCCTCGTACACACTAAAGCTTGGCACTTACCATAGTTAATAGGAAGGCAATGTTGATTGCTCCATTGTTGAATTTCTTGTAATGTTTTATTTGCAAAATCTGTGAGGTGATCACAATTCTTATTCTCCAACATTATCATCAAATCATCCGCAAATGCCTGGATTTTCAAGTTGTTTTTATTGTCAAACTTTTGAAGTAGGTCATCAAAGACCAAGTTCCACAGGGACGGTCCTAAACGCGATCCCTGCGGGCAGCCTCTATTGATATCTTTTTTCAGGTGTATATTATTTGCGTGAAACTCTATATGCCTATTATGTAAGTAACTTTTAAGTAGTTTTGTTTCAATTTTTGTGTCCTGTAATTCATCTAGTTTCTCATTGATGTCTTTCCATCGGAGGTGGTCAAATGCCTTAGAATAGTCTATTGATATGAGTAACGCATGATTATTCTTTTCCCAGGCTTTGTAAACAAAGTTTTTGACACTTAATATTGCATGTGTTGTTGATTTTTTATGTCTAAAGCCGAATTGATTAACATGATTTTTACCTTTGGTATACAATTCCCAGTTCATTCTATTGATTATTAAGCCTTCCAATGCCTTCCCCATGGTGGGAAGAAGGCTAATTGGTCTATAGTCTGTTGGTGAGTTTGTATCTTCTTTTTTCATGATTAATTTTATATTGGCAGTTTTCCAAATATCCGGGAAGTAGCCTTTTTTCAGGCATTCGTTATATAATATGGAGAAGACTATTGGAATTTCCATGTATGCATTTGTCAGCATTTCAGTAGTTATTTCGTCCAGCCCCGGTGCTTTCTTTTTGGCCATTGAAAAGATGGCTTCCTGTATTTCTAAAAATGTGAATAGTTTGCAGTGTTCTTCTTGTTCTAATTTCCCTTGTTTATTCTTGTCTAATTGGTTATTTGTCGTAATACTACTGTTGTCTGTATTATCCCTTGGAAAGTGGAATTCCAATAGTTTCTTAATGTTTTCCTCTATATTGTGTTTTCCAATTCTGTCTGAATCTTCAGTCCAGTTTATGATGTGTGGTAGGTAGAATTTTTTCTTTTTCCTCATTACCGTTTTATATGGGAGCTCCCAGGGGCCTTTGTCGTTACATTTATCACAAAACTCTCTGCAAGCCTTTGTTCTTGTTGCGTTTATCTTCTTTTTATATTTTTTTAATTGTTCTTTATACTTTTCCCTTAGGGTTATCCTGTGTGCTTCGTTTTCCTCTCTGTGGTATTGCTTCCTCATTCTGTTCGTGTTTTTCCTTTGTCTTTCTAATTCCTCTGTCCACCAATGGGTTTTCCCCTTAGACTGATTTGTTTTGGTTTTACTGGCCTGTTTTGCTGCTAATTGAATGTCCTTGGTTAAGAGTTCAGTGTATCTGTCTATGTCTTTGATAGTGTTGATTTTTGGATATTCGTGACTAATCCAGTTGTTCTGAAATGCCATCCTAAAGTGATCCCAGTTTAAATGTTTCTTGCTGAAGGTGGTATATTCATTATAGAACTCCATATTGTTAATTTCTGTTAATATATATCTGTGGTCACTACCCGTAGTGGTTAAAAGCGTTTCACAGTTGGTGATATACTGGGCAAGATCTTCTTTAACCAGACACACGTCTGTCCAACCTTTTGCGTTAATTGTGTAGAACGTTGGGTGGTCTGACATGTTTGTGGAAATTAATCCAAACTCCTCCATCGTCTCCATAACCATTTCTCCTCTTTTGTCTTCTTTTGTGTTAAACCAAATGCCTGATTTGGCGTTTAGATCTCCCGCCAATATCACATATTTACTATCAATACTTCTTAGAACTTTGTTTATTTCCCATATCGCTTTGTTGTCATCCATATTTGGTGATAAATATGCATTGATTATATAAATAGGCGGGTTGTGGTGAATTACTGCTGTTGTTATTATGTTTGAAGAAAGTTTTGGTATTAGTGCAATGTCTATTGTTCTGTTGATTACGGCAATACAGCTTTTTGGTGTTTTCCCATTGGTTTTGTATAATATTTGCCAGTGGCCTAGGTTTACAATTGTTTTATTGATCGTGTATGGTTCTTGCAGTAGCACCAAGTCTGCTTTAATTTTACTGGCTGTATGCATTAATATGGAGCTAGGGGCCTTGGCTCTTTGGGCATTCAGATGTAGTATGTTGAATCCCATCTTTTTTCCTTCTTGAAATTGTTTGTTACTTTGATTATAATTTTTGCTTTTGTTCAGAGTGTTGTTGTTTTCATTATTATTATTCATAGTTTATTTTCCCTATTATTTGCTCCTTGATTTTAAGTAATGTTGGACATTGGTTGCTGTAAGAGTTATGGTTTGTAGCTTTCCTTTTTCCTGGTGGCAATCCTCTGTTTGCCTGCAAGCAGTTGGTGCATTAAGGAATTTGATTTTTTGCCGTGCATTCCTTGTAGCTATGTGCCTTAGTACACTGGCTGCAGATCTGGTCCTTTTTGCAGTCCCTTGCCCAGTGCCCGAAACCACAGCATCGGTAACATCTGATCACCGGCACAAAATCATCCACTCTTACCGTTGACCAGGACATAGCTATTTTCTGTTGGTTGATTATGATGTTTCTAATTTGTGGAGTTACCATTATCACTACATGTCTGCAGTTTTCCCTACTTTTATTTCCTTTAATTATTGTACTGATTCTACAATTTTCAATAATTGTATTGCTGTCTATATTTTTCCAAATGTTGTTCTGTTCTTTCATTATTTGAAGTATTTCCTCTTCCTCTATTCTGTTAGGTACATTTAATAGTATCACTCTTGGATTCTTTCCTGCTGCTAACTTACATGTTATCTTTTGCTTTAATTCTGATATATTTTCAATGGCCTCCTTTAGTCTGTTTCCTTCTGTTTCTGTTCCTATTCTGAAACAGATTCCATTGCCCTTAACCTTTTTAATTTGTTTGACCTTAACGCTAATTTGATGTGGTTTAATCTTGTCTTTTATTATTTCCACTATTTGGTTCATATTGGTTTCTGTGGCCTCTTCCTTATTAGTATCATTGATCGGGTATACCAAAACAGCGCTGTTGTCCCCGTTATCCGTCTTTTTATTAATAACCCTTGTAGTCTGACTATGCAAGTTGTGTATGTTTGCTTTTGCAATCTCAGCGTATGAGGGCTGCCTGGCTGTTTCATTTAGTTGTTGTGTCTCATTTCCTATTCTTCTTGTTGTTTTTATAGCCTCAATTTGGTTAGTTCCTTGTCTATTCATCTCTGTTCTTATCTCTTGGATTATGCCAAACATTTGATTGACTGCCGCATACAGCTGCATTGCCCTTTCCTTAATCTCCTTGCGTTCTTCCGTTCTGATGTGAAATTTGTAAGGATTAGGCAATAGTTTTACAATTTCCCTCAGCTGTTTTTTCTCTTCTTGTAGAATTCCCTCCTCTATTGTTCCATTGTTTGAGACAGTGTTTTCATCCATTATACTCTCATCCTCAATTTCATTTGTTGAACCTTGCGTTAATGTATTCCCTTCCAGTTGGTCTTCCATATTAATAGTGTAATTAAGTCCAGAATGAATGTAACCTATCGTTACAGAAAGGCTAAAGTGTATACTGTGTTTACTTAGCAAAAGAAGCTGAAGGCAGTATTGGAAAGTTGAACTTAGTTCCAAAGGCTCTGGTCTGTCAAGTTTCCACTGGACAGATCAGAGAGAAAAGATAGACTTATCACTAATTAATACTAATTAATTACTAATTATCACTAGTTAACAATTGATACTACAGGGTTGACAACAATTTATAATTCTTCAAACAACAGCAGTCAAAAGTTCGTTGAAAGGTCAAGAGTAACCAAGTTGTATTAATAGCAGTGCGCCGATCGGCTACGCTGAACGGCGTGCTTACGCCGCGCCGGCTGGCTGTGTTGAGTTTCCGTTAAAATCCGTTGAGGTCATTCTACCCGTCAAGTGATGAAGGTCAAAATTTTTTAAAACTGCGATAATTTAAATTCTATCAAAGTTAGAGATTTGAAACTTGGTGATGTTCTAGAAGAAAGTCTTCTCCCGTTGATTGCGTCGAGAATTGTCCGTAAAACCGAAGGACCGGCCCGATGCAGCCCGCCAAACCGAAACCACAAAAGTCTGAATAATTTAAGTACTATGGTTCCTAGAGCTACCAAATTTGGGTACTTAGCTCACTGTTATATTGTCATTGTAGTCATCTATTCAGTTCCGGAAAATCGAACGGAAAAATCCGGAAAATCGAATCCGAAAAACTCCAATCTTCCGGCGCTCGCCGCCGAAAAGCGGGTGGGCCAATCTTCAAGTGACGACGATGATCGAATCCTCTCCTTTTGCTGATTCAGATGATATATTGTTTATGTGTGTGGGTGCACTATAGCCA